CGGGCCCCGCCCCGCCGCGCCCGACGTGCTGGGGGAGGCGTGGGCGTGGGGTCCGCGGCGGGAGGCTGAGCATCCTGACGTTTCCCGAGGTACCCCTAACGTCCCGGCGGAGCTCCAGGCCGCTGTCCTCGTGGGGCGCAGAATCTAATAAATCAGATGTAAGCGATTATTAGATCGTGTTTATTGAGTGAATATTTATCCCATTGCTACTAGGGTACGGCGACATATATTAAAGATGAAATGATTTTTGTTTTATTTACAGATATAACTCGTTCGATGAATATTAATCAGGGCGTGGGGGCTGCAGGGACGCACAGAACACACTATGAATAAAAGAAACAGTTCAACAAGTAAATACATAATGTATAATCCGGAAAGAAATAAATCAGGGTGCTGCCATCCAGGAGGGGCCCGAGTGGTCCCGGAGCCCCCACAGAGAAGGTGATGGAACAGGGGAGGTAATTCTGGCCTCTTCAGAAGCCGTCTACAACCACTGCTGCTGTCAGAGATTCCTCCGTCTGTGTGGACTGCCCTTGGAGGAAAGCAAGCAGAGGGCTGTCCACCTTTCCTTTGTTCCTGTCCCCAGCCACAGAAACAGGCCCATTTCCAGACCTCTGAATGTCACACTTGGCTGGACTGGCTACAGAATTTTCAGAGTTCAAAGTTATCAGGAATTTCACGTCCGATGCGAGAGCACTGAACCAAATGTGGGGCCTTTCTGAGCGTCCAGCCATGTGACTGCACAGGTCACTGCCCTCAAAGCTGGCCCTGGCACCAATGACCCTCACCAGTGGGTCACACCACTGTACCAGACCAGCTCTGGGGGCCTCAAACCCTCTGCATGTCCAGACACCACCACCATGACACCCTTGATGCCCTGTACAGTTGGGAACTGTAACTCTAAGTAGGGTCACTCCTGGCACCTCTCTGGATAGTGGGACACAGGCTGGGGTCTGTGGGGATGCCGGTGGCACCAGGTGGGCAGGGGAGGACAGGGATGCAGGTCAAGTGTTCGCTAGTCATTCAGACTGTGTTTGACCCCAGTTCCAGACAAACCTGTCCCAAGGCCCTGGACTCCCTGACCCTAAGATCCACCCTGCAGCCACTGAAGCCTGACCCCTCCTTCCCTAAGCACCCTCACCCTAGCCCCCTCATGCTGGGTATTAAACCCCAAGTCTTCAAAGAGCCTACTGGGGACACACGTTTCTGTCTCAGCTAATTTCCCCCTTCTCTTGTCACTCACTGTCTCTCCAACTTGCCAGATGCACAACCCTGCCTCCAGGCATTTGCCCTGTCACCTGGCAAGCAGAGGGCTCGCGGGAAACGTTTGTTGAGTGAATGCATGATGCAGTGAGGAGAGCTCTCAACCAGAAAAGGAACCTTTGAAAACTTTGATTAAAGTGTGACCTAGCTCTTTTCCTCCCTGACTGCTCAAAGATCGGCCAAGATCATGAACGACACAGTAACTACTGGACCAGGAAGTTCATGACCAACAGAGGAATTCAGCAAAAACAAATGATCATTGACAACCTTCTCCTTGGGAAGGCAACAGCACCTAAGCCAGGAATTCGGGGGAAACTAGCCCAAATGTACTGTCAATCGCACCAGAGGTCATCTTTGTGTTTGGATTCAGAACCCATTTTGGTGGTGGCAAGTCAAACTGGCTTTATGATTCCTTGGATGATGCAAAGAAAAATGAACCCAAACGTAGACTCGCAAGACATGGCCAGGGTGAAAAGAAGACCGCAGGAAAACAGAAAGGACCGCAAGGATGAAGAAAGTCGGGGCTGCAAGGGCCAATGTTGGTGCCGGCAAGAAAATAAATAAGTAAAGAAGTAGTAAAGGTTCTTCAGTGACTTTATCTGTGACGACTGTGCAGATATTTCACGAGCGAATTCATAAACTAAGAACTTTCAAAAATAAAATAAAGTGTGACCTACACTCGGTTGTGCCAGGGGAGGCGCCACTGCTCGGCCACGTGGTTTTCTGCAAGCTCGGTTCTTTCGCTGGGTCTCAGTTTCCCCTTTTTGGACGGACAGGGCCTGGCAGCCCTGGCCAGGAGGGGCTGGGGCCAGGGTCGGCCGCGCCCTTGGCACACGCCCTGGGCTGGGGGGTAGGGTTGCGGGGGGCGGAGGCT